AAATATTTATTTTGCAAGGTATTTTATTCATCATAGCCTTGGTTCATTGGACCACTTGATTACAGTTTTGCATAACCATATTTCCTGCCGCTTGAATCCAACAGTAGAGAAAATCAGAGGATTTTATTAAAAAATTCGAGTTATAATTGTTTGGAGGCTAGGAATGTTTAGGAGAGAGTAGTTTACATGGAATACGTCATCTTTTGCGGCCGAAAACGGCACAACTGCGCCAAAACACTGAAAACATGGCTGAAAAGATCGAATTATTGCGTAAAGACTTAAATAATGTTACCAGATTAATTTGTGACTGATTTTTAATTCCATCAATTTAATGTAATTTTCAAAGCTTACATCTTTTTCGGAAACTTTCTTTTGCGCGTCTACAGACAGATCCTAAAGTTCTTAAAATTTGTAGAAAAAAATACTTCTGAGGAGAATTCCAGAAACTTTGCTTTTTACCTGAATTTTCCCAATTTTTTTCAGTCCAAAAATATACTGCGTGACGGATTGGAAGCAAATCTTGGGATGCCTTCCATTCATTTCCATCTACTTCAAAGATCGTGCAAAAGACGAAGAACCGTGCGAAAAGTCGAGTACAGCAAGTAAACTGAAAAGTGAACTAACTGGGAAGTCAAGTCCAGAAAAACCCCGGATTTTGTCGAGGTGATCCATCCATCCATCCATCTACAAAAAAATAGTTCCACGAGCAGACAAAACTATATTGAGATTACATCGAATTGCTGGACATCTTTTTTGTTTTCCTTTGGCAACGCGCGGCAGATTATTCCCGAAAGAAACCGGTAAATCCTCGCGTGTTATTTTTCTAGCATTAATTCGGCAGAGCTTCTCTCTCTTTTTTTTTTGATGCGGCTCAATTCTCTTTTTTTTTCTGTTGTTTCAGCCCCGATATGTGAGCTTTGTTTTCTGCAGTCTCTGATGTCTATTGACGTCTTGTGATTTAGGGGAAAATATATTCGGACTTGTGGTGTCGGAAAATGCGGCTTTTGTGCTAGTGATTGGCCGAGGCTTTCCTTCCGGGCCAGCGGGCGTGTTTGTATGCCAATTCTGAACCCGGCGCTTGACGTCAGTAGACATCGGATCACGGCCTCAGCTTTTTTTTGTTTCCTTGTCGCATGGGGCAGATACTAAGTTTCTTTCTTATAATATGCATTTTAAGAATTACTTTGTGTACACGTTAGCTTTAAAAAACTTAAAATAATGGCAGAGGCATGTTAACCCTTCTGAGGCAAAGTTGGCCTTTTTTTGCAGATTTTGGTTGCACTCAAGAGTGGAATTTTAAAAAACCCCAACAGTGTGTGCATGGCAAAGTCAGGAAAAATCCTGGCATTTTTTAAATTTCCCACAAAAAATTTTTGCCTGAAAACAAGAAAATTAAAACTTCAAGGCTCCCTTTTTTTTCCCTGGCCTTGTGTTGTTTCCACATGCAGAGATTAAATTTAAGCTTGAAAGCCAGGAGCCCACGTTAGAGACCAATACAGAAAAAGTCCAACTCAGGACTTCCCCAGCATTTCTTTATCCCTGGATAAAATCTAACTTTGCCCTCCCCCACCTTGCAGGGGTTGCATAACCTTGTGCAAAAATGTTATGCAGGCCCATCAGGAAATAGTGCAATTTTGCCCTGGGATGGAAAGGAGGCTGCCACTGTGGAAAGGTTGATCTGTTAATCCGGCAGCACTGGACTCTCTACAGCAGTTTTTTTTTTTTGCCAACTGGTGGCCTGTGGACTGGCACTAGTCCATAAAAGTTGTTTGCTGTTCAGCAGGAAATTTTCTCAAGCATATTAACAAATTGAAGGATGTTACAGAGTCATTATCTGAAATTTTTGCAAGACAATTGCAGTTGAAATAATCGAATGAAGAATGATAGTTGCCATTTCCCCTAAAAACACTTCAGACAAATTTTCACGTGATGAAAGCAATTATTTTTATCTTTCATTCTGAGAAACTTTTGTTCAACCCCACCTTTCTAATTTTCAAGACCTTCCTGCAGGCAAACCTTTTTTGACTCTGCGCAAATTGTTAAAACCGTTACTGGTCCACAAAACATTTTTTTTCTTTGCTGTCTGCAAAGAACTTAATGTAAATTTGTCAGTCTATGGGCCTGAAAACTACGAACTTTTGCAATGTTCCATATCATAGAGCTACAAGGTTTTTTCGACCCCCCCCCCCCTCGGGATTTTAGGACAACAGGATGTTATATAAGCATTAGTGCCTCTTTCAGAAGAGAAAATCCTCTGCTCATTCAGTGACCACCCGAGCATAAAATTCAGCCAATTGGAAAATGGGGTCTAGGTGCATTAGCCTTTCAGCTATGATTACTGCTGAGGGATAATTTGCAGACAAAATCAGCCAAAAATCTCAGAAATCAAAGAGTCATTCAATCCTAGAGGGAATCAAAAGAAGGAAATACAGGGAACTTACAAATACATATAATTTTTAAATCCCAGTAGTTTCTTTATTGGAACCATGCTCTGAGAATCTAATTTTAACCCTTTGCTGGCAGTGCAGGGATTTATTTGTAAGGTTTTGTGCCACAAGGAATCAAAGAAATGAGAAAAAAATTATCAGAAAGGTGGGGGGGAGTTGGGAAAATCATAATTTTTTTTAGCATTCTTGCAGAAAAATGTTCATTAAAAATGAAGGAAACTTTACTGTTGGGTGGCATTCCTTCTGCATTCCTGCCTCAGAAGTAGAATTTCAAGATTTTGAGAACAATGGCAAACCCTTTCCCACATTTTTCTTGACTTTGGCTATACTCAGCCAAAGCTATATTTTGGTGACCTTTGGTCAAACTGAAATGCACAAGCATCTGAAAATATCCCAGCGCTGTCACAAGATGAAACCACTACCCAAGGGTTAAGAAACTTATTTTCACGTTCACTCTCAGTGTAAAGAATGTTTTCTTGATTCTGTTGATGAACCAAAGAGGTTATTTGCAAATTGGCTGAAAAATGGCAAAATCAAACTTTTGCAATATCGAGCAAACGCTTTTTGTGAATAAATTTTAGTTTTGTAGGACAGAACAAGCATAATATTCCTCTGGTAATTTCTCTAAAATTATTTTGAATTTAGCAATAGCTCATTTCTTTCCCACTTTCCTTTTTGATTCCTCCAAAGAGAGTCCTATCTCAGATTTTTGATGCTAGTGTCCCAGCAGAAATGACGGCCAGACTGGAATTATACGTTGCAAAAGCACTTCAGAGCATTTCTTTCCCATTTAGTACCAATTTTTACTTGTAAATGCATTTGAACCCACATGAGTCTCTCAATTGACTATCTCTGTAACAAAATTCAGTAGACCAGAAATAATTGTTGTAGACAAAATTATTTTGGAGAGAGTCCACTTGTGTAACATTTTTCCATGTAGCTAAAGTAGCATGTCTCTGGGAACATTTTGTGACAAGATTTTGCTGCAGAAATGTTTCAGTAATTTTTTCCATATCTCAGGGAAGCTCAACAACCATCCAACAAGGTATCTCAGGAATTCATCAGAATGCTGTCACCACAGAAAGCACCACTAGCACCACAAAATGCGCCACTGCCCCAGCAGAAGGCACAAGCACCAGCAGTAGAACCAAAAAAGGTGTGTTGCAAGCACCAGCACTACCAACAGCACTGCAATCAGAACCCACACTATAGACCCAAGCCTCAGCAATACTATAAGCCCTGCAAGGAATGCAAGACTTCCATTTGTGCAACACCAGATGAAGTGCGCACAATAAAGGAATCAGTGGATGATTGGAGCTGTAGAGCTGAAAATGAAGCAATGGCCATTATCAAGGCTGGTAGTCCCACTGAAAGTTATGATTGTGGTGATACTGGAGGAAACACATGCTGTGAGCTACATGATCACTGCGATATGCCAAGGAATGACTATGGCATGCATTGTTACTTCTGAATTTGACTTATTTTTTTCATGCATGCTGATCTTGTGCTCATCTTTTTTTTTTCTGAAATGCTGTTTTGTTTTCTTCTGGGGAATATTCCAGTTCTGAATACAAGAAAATATTTGATTTTCTGGATGCATTGAGTGAATCCAATCATTGAATGACTGGCCAACCGTAACGCCATTTTTTCCCCTTTTTGCTCCTTTTTTTTGCAGGAAAAATCCGAAAAATGTTTACTGCACCCTCAAGTAAGACACGTATAACAAAGGTTTCCTGCGGCAAATTTTGATAATTATATCTTGGGGTAAGATGTGCATCATTCCATTTTTAGTGACCCTAAAACCACACAATTTCAAACATCTGAGCACTAAAATATGAATTTTAAAGTGATACAATGTATTTTGTTTCCATTCAAATAATGTTTTCCTTAAAGTTGGAATAAAAATTTGGTACTTTCCTGTTACCTCTGTCCTAGATTGCACTACCATCCGGACAAATCTTTAGGATGAGTTCATCATCACAACAACCTATCAGAAACTGAATTTAATTTTTCCGCATTCTGCTGAAACTGATTTTGGGAGGCGGTTAGGTGAAGTTAGGTTAGGTCAGGTTAAATTGGTCAGGGGGAAGGTACAGAGATAACAGGAAAGTAGGTACAGAGATAGCAGAAAAGTACCAAAAATTCTTATTCAAATCAAGTGTGATGCACCCCTACATTTGAAAAACTTTTTTGAAAATTGTATACCCACTTATGATGTGCACCCCCTATTTTACTCTGAGATTTTAGAAAAAAAGGTGTGAGTGGTGCTAGTAAAGATGGAAATTCTAACATTATTTACTGAAATGAATTAAAACAATGGATCAAAAACAATATTCAGGATTTTTGTCCTCTTGGGAACAACTCTTTTACTTGAACCTTTCTGATAACAAAAAAAATCCATTAGTCAACATTGCACTTGATATCAACCTGGGCCTATTTTTGCTCAGCATCAATGATGATCTTGTTCAGCATCAATGATGATACTGAACTTGGAGGCAAGTGTCAGGCCGATTGATGACAAATAAAAGTAGAGAAAGGAAAAGACGCAGTCACTCAGCCTTTAACGGCCGGATCCTCTTTAGCAGAGTCCCTTTAGAATAAGCAGCTTTATCCACACACGCATAAACCACAGAAGGATAAGGAAAGTAGGTACAGAGATAACAGGAAAGTAGGCACAGAGATAACAGAAAAGTACCAAGAATTCTTATTCAAATCAAGTGTGATGCACCCCTACATTTGAAATTTTTTTTTTTAATTGTATACCCACTTATGATGTGCACCCCCTTTTTTACTCTGAAATTTTAGAAAAAAAGGTGTGAGTGGTACTAGTAAAGATGGAAATTCTAACATTATTTACTGAAATGAATTAAAGCAATGCATCAAAAACAATATTCAGGATTTTTGTCCTCTTGGGAACAACTATTTTACTTGAACCTTTCTGATAACCAAAAAATCCTTTAGTCAACATTGCACTTGATATCAATCTGGGCCTATTCTTGCTCAGCATCAATGATGATCTTGTTCAGCATCAATGATGATACTGAACTTGGAGGCAAGGGCTCAGTTACCCAATTTGCATTTTCTTTTCTTTTTAAACACATCAAGTTGATCTTTCATTCATTTTCTTGTCTTTCCTGTGTCACAAAAAAATACCCAAGAGGCGTAAAAAATTCCTGTTATATGGAGGTTCGAGAGCAAAAGTCTTTGAGTTAGACAGGTTTCTAATGCAGGGCTTCTACGGAAATTCAGACTATAGGACTTGACAAAAATCTGACTTGGGGAGGTTCAGGTAATCAAGGTTCAGCTGTATTGTAAATTTTTAATTACCTATATATGTAAACGTGGAAATGTTTTGCTTACGTAAGTTAGCCAGCAGAGGAGAAACGTGATTTCCTCACCACATCACACGAATTAACGGAAACCGCTTATACGGCTGCACAGCAAGCTTATGATGAGATGAACTCCTATGAGATGACATATATAGTGACCTTTACTATGATAAATCGCTGGTCTCAGGATTCCTCGTGTCTCATAGCAAAAGATGCGTGAATCGGAAATCTGGGATGAACTCAGTGGGGCAATATGCAAGTTAGGCATCCGTGAATGCCCTGATTTCACCGACTGCTGATGCATTGAATTCGAAACCCTGTTCAACACGCTTTTCGGTCCGGACCCGGAGGTCAGGTTGCAGTGAGTGGAACCCAACACCGCGAAAACGTGATCTTGGTCTTGGAGAGGGGAGAAAAAAACTGTTTGTGAAGAGTGGATGTCGTCTGATGTCTTGCTTTATTTTTTTAAAGTTCAATTCATGTCTTTCAGCCGCCAAGGTTTATACTTATTTTTTTTTTCATTTTATGCACCTGATTTCTTTGAAATTTACTGTTCGCGTGAAGATGCTACGCAGTTCGTTGTGCCTCAAACTACGAATTTAATTTATTGCAACAAGCGGTTTTGACGTCGAAGAAGTTCGATACTGCTTACGTCAATTTCTTTCAGAAATAATGCGTATCAAAATGGCTAAATTATAAAGTGATCAAAATTGAGATACAAAATCCTCCAACGACTGTTCGAATTCCTTCGCCAGAGGTTCTTCATTCGATTTTTTTTTCAATCCCAGGCAGATTTTGTTTTCATGCAGAATTTCACAAAATCGACTTCAAGATATAACGAATAATTGAAATTGTTAACCGAAGAAAAAATTGTACAAACATAAGCTAGCCATAAGAAACGAAATTACAGCAGCACGTTAAATGAAGACCCGGTAATCATTTATTTTTTCATGAAAATGCGTATTTTTTGGGCGTTTGTTGTGTTGAGACACCAGTGAATAGTCTTCAGTGAAGCAAAGTCAGTTTATTTTTGCTTCAATGAAAATATTCATCCTGTCACTTTTCAAGAAGCAAAGAAAAAATATAATTACCATTTTGTGCATTTCAGCAGAGGAGCTCATTTTGTCTTCTGACGTCACTTGGAGAGTAGAAGTATTTCTCACTGTAGCATAGATCAAAGCACGTGCATTTTCTAATATGCTTTAAGGAGAAGAACGTGTGAAAAATTGTGTGTTTGATGCATGGGGAGAAAGATTCCTCGCTTCATAATGTGCTGATTTTTTTTTCTTCCGGTTTTGATCAAAGATCAAAGCATTTTTTGCAGGGAAGAAAGAGAAAAAATGAATTTTATTTTCAAAAGTGATAAGGAGAAAGATTTTCTCGTGGATAATGAGCAAGATAAATATTTATCGCATTCGTCCGCAACTTTTGGTGCAGTCAGATCATCAAAGTCAATGGCTTCAATTTGCACTTTGATTCTGATCGCTGGCGTGGGTTTCGCAGTGGCTTTTGGCATCATAAGCATTCTGCTGATTCCTTTCCCCGGCTTTTTTGTTGGTATCATTCATTGGTCAGCTTCAGGTGAGATTTCATTTCTTTGATCTTTGTTAGGGATTTCCCAGAACAGAGAATTTTTAAATTAAACATCACGATCAGCCTGGGACTGGCTGGGAGCCTCTTTATAGAGGCTCCAAGAAATTCATATTTATTCATGTCCCAAAAGAATCAACAATGCAGCATCTTCTTCAAGAAGAAGTACACACAACTTCTCAGAAAATTGGTTGAACCCTTGGGCAGCAAACTTGGACTATTTTTTATAGGGAAAATTTTTATAAAGGACAATGAAGGACATCCGTAAAGCGGGACATTTCAAAGGGTTTTTCGGGCTCACAGAAAAGCGACCCTATTTCTCTAGGTCTAGGAATTATTGAATAAACCTGCGGGGAGTTGCAATTTCATGGTGTCCATTCCTTCACAGGTCAGGCTGGGTCAACACCAGTTGTGATAAATGTGTTGATGGAAAATTACCCGTCATCAACGGGGTCTTCTCACCAGGAAGACTCCATCATTACCGGGATTTCAGCTGCACAAGACAGGTTTTTGTCCTTACATTCTGGACAACACATGGTAATCAACTGGGTGCGAGTCCAGCATGTAAAAAATAACAGGCTTTTGTCAGGACTGGCACCTGCTTCTCTGGCACCTTCAACTGCTGGTGGAATCACTGTTGTTGTGGACTTGAGGTGAGCTTTCCGTCAGCTGTGATTTTGGATATGAATGGATATGCAGTCAAGGCCCCACAATATGGACTTAATTTGTGCAACAGACTAGTCTGTTGTGTGAAAAGTCTGTTCTGCAAATTCAAATACCGTATTTACTTGAGTACCATGCACCCTTGAGTAAGGCGCGCACAGGGGTTTTTCAGTTGGAAATTTGGCTAAAATCTTATACCTGAGTAAGACGTGCACCGCAATTTTTAGTGAATCTAAAACCACAAAATTTTGAAAATACATTTTTAAAAATTTGACTTTAGACATGAATTGAACAAAAATTGGATCAATTTTTAAATTTTCAGATTTAGTAAGTTGTGTGGGAGGGAAAGCTGCCTTTAGAGATAGTCTGTTGTGTGAAAATCCTTTGTGCGGGAGGTCCTTTGTGTTTGGGGTTGCCTGTACAGTGCGACCCTGAAATGCAAAAACTTCAACCTATGGGCGATTCTACTTCAGCTAGTGCACTTGTAACTAGAAAAATCTGCCCCAACATTTCAGCAGTGACTCAAGATATGGAAACTTTTCAAAGATTTCTGGAAGAAATAATATATTCAAGATTTTTTTATTTCTTGAAATAATTGAGCTATTAAGATTTACAAATGCTAGAAATAAATATCATAATAAAATTACCCCAATTAATAATCAAAAAAAGTTTGAACTTAATTGAGCTTCTTTTTTAATTTGTTAGATCATATGTGCTTGGTACTGTAAGACTTGTTCTTGTTCCTTGCTTCTTGAGCTCCTTCTGATGCCAGAAGATCAGATTCAGTGTAGTTTTCTTCTGTAAATGTATTCTGTGCTTCTTGAAGTTGCCAATGAATTAATTTATTTTATTTTTAAGTGATGTTTTCTCAACTATTCATCTACAGAAGAACCAATTAGAAATACTCCAGGTTAAGTCCTTGGAAAAGCAAGGTCTGACATTGCTATCTGACATTGCGTGAAGATATTCTAACTTAGGGACAATAAGATCCATGCATCAATTATGTTCACATCTTGGGGTCCCACTGCATAACCCTTTGGTGGCAGAATATTTTTGCAGGAATTTCTCACTTGACATGTTTAAATTCAAAGAATGTTTTACTGGCAAGTTAGAGCCAAAGGTGGGAAAAATCTGTACTTGTTTTTCTGTTCATGCAAAAAAGTTTTTGGAGAACCAAAAAGAACCTCTCCATCCCAGGGTTTAGTTTTTTCAACCTTCAGCCATGAGATGAATGAATGAATGAACAGCAAGCTTTATTTTCTGCTTTTCAGAGTTCACAAAGTTCAATCAACATTCCCACATCCAAACCCCCTCCCCATCCCACTTTTGGGCTACATTGGAATACCTGGTGGACTTCACCAATTTTCCTCCCCTGGCATATTGGAATATTTCCTGGCTTAGGCTAATCTGAAATTTTAAAATCATATACCATATACAGTATTGTAATGAGTACAGTTTTTTTTTCAGATTGGATCGTTCAATGGATATTCCAAGTCTGATGAACGAAACCAATAATGAGAAATTATTGGTCGTGAAGCCATTCCCGCAAACTGACGAAGACACGATTTCTGCAATTCATCACATCTCGACGAGTGGACCAGAAAGAGCCCATTTCGCGGCTTTGATCAGCAAATTTGCGGAAATCAACTCGCTGAAACAGTCTTCCGACCACGTCCACGTTTTACCCATTGTTGCAACGAACAGCAAACATTACTCTGACTCTGCGGAAACATTTTCTCACGAAACATCCAGGCTTTTCCCAAAGGCGAAATTTCTTCCGTTTCTCCGCATCGATTCGGAACCGGAAGTTTTTTCGCACAGGCTCCGGACAGTTCTCAAGCACTTTCCGGAAGCAAATCCGGTTCTGTTTGCTGACGGAAACCAGGTTCGAAGCATCTTCGGGGCCATGCAGGGAAACGAAGGTTTTTTCGATAGAATCTGGTTTTACCCTGAGGCAATTTATTGGGAAGAGGAATTACAGCGAGATCACGTTGCTTGGAAAAACATGAAACGCGTTGGAATGATGACTGTGGCGTTTTTGAGCGACGGACACAATTCGCCTCTCAGGTAATCGATAATACCCGAAAAATGATTTTTTTTTAAATGCCATGAAAAATTCAATTGTTTTATCGGCTTTAGGAAAAATTATTAAGTTGAACTCAAGTGTTCCTCTGGAAAGCTAGATGCAGCAATTCTTTTTCTTCATATCACTCAACAAATAAAGCTTGGATTATAATTATGGTGCCTTAAAAAATGTGGACCAAAAATTTCAAGCCAATATTCGTACTGACATTTTGAAAACTGAAAATCTAAACTTGAACTCAAACAAAATTTTGATAACAATTTCATTATTTTGCCAAGGAATTTTTCTTGAAAACTTATATTTCTATGAAAACTTATGTACCTCTTATATTTCATATTTTGCCACCGCCATTTGAAAAAAACATTAGTTTTAAAAAAATAGCCAAATGAGAGGCTATTATAATAATACAGATAGAAATAGAATAATTCACATTGTGGAAACTGTTTTGCTTAAATTTCCATCATCTAGCCAAATTCTGATTCATGACATCAGCAATAGGTTGTGTAATGTCAACATTTTCTTGTCCATGATTAAATGAATAATGAATCAATACAGTCAACCCCTGCACAATGGACTTAATTTGTATAACAGACTATTCTGTTGTGTTTTCAAGTCTGTTATGCAAATTCAATTATTAAGGAATTAAATTTTTTGATTTTTTCCATTAATTTTAAACCAACAGATGTCTGTTATGCTGATAGTATGGGAGGGAAAACTGCATCCAGAGGTGGTCTGTTGTGCGGGAGATCCGTTCTGCAGGGCTATACTGTAGCTGTATTCTATATAAAAATAATACAGATTATTGCTACTTTCCTTGACCGGAAAGAAGATGCTCAATGCATAGTTGGTATTTCATCCAAAACCCATAACTCATCATGAATTCAAAGATTTAGACAAGGGCTACAAAAATAACTGGGGTGTTGAATAAAACTTATGATATTTTGCTAAAACAGTATTTTTCATGTATAGTCCAAGGAAACAGGAATTATAAAAATTAGATGTTGACTTAATTTTTTCGGAAGTTGGACGACTTAAACCTGAGTCATTGAAGGTGTTCGTTTTATTTTTTGTTCGCAGGCGGAAAGAAATGCAAAAAATGCAACGGAATATTTCACATTCCGGCTCATTGTTCCTGTCTACTTTGGCATACGACGCAGTTTTCAAAGCTGCTGAAATCGTCGAAAAACAGAACGAATTCATGGCCAGCAGTAAGACCTCTGGAAATGTCAAAATAATCCTCGACAACCAAATGAATCGCTTCGGAGGAAAATTTGCGAGGCTGACGCTGCTACCGGAAATCGGCAGTAAAGATTCTGCGAAGCTTGTGGATATTTTGCAGCAGCAAGAATGGCTCGTAGATGCCGTCTTTCGTTTGGAAAAAAGTCAAATCCCAAACGACACCAGACAGGATTCTGTGGAAATTGTCGACAGCCAAGTCGAGGAACTAACTCTGTCGAGGATTCTGGATGAAGGCGTTGGTACGGGACATTTTTTGCAAAGGGAACACTTTGGGAAATTTTTCAACAGCTCTTTTGACAGGTGAGGTGTGACTAAATTTTTCGTAATCACCCCTTTGATATCCTAGCTTTAAACACTTTTTTATTTGATATTTGCGATAATTTAATTTTGGCTCACTTGCCTTCAATTGCGCCTTCCAGAGTTTTTTCTTTATTTATAGATTTTCGCTTTTTTGCTCTGAAAATTTTTTAAAACGTGTTTTTTACAGAATGTATGTTTCAGGCTCCTAAAATTGAAAAGATTTTCAGATAACCTCGATTTTTAGGAACGTGGATATCCAATTTCTTGTCAATTGACTGCGTTGCCTCAACATTTTATAAAAAAGTTTAAAGCCCTCGTTTTTGATGAATACTTCTGAGATTCTGCTGAGCTCCAGTGAAGATTCTGAGGAATCTTGGCTCTACAACATAAATTTATTATGTAACTTATATTATTGTGAAGTGATTTCATAAAAGATCACTAATTTATTCCATGTGAATTCCGTCCTTGATCTCATTTTAAATTCGAAAAGATTCAATCCTTGCAGTGTAGCTAAAAAAAATACAGGAAAATTTAGAATATCCTATAGTTTTTTTTCCTTTACAAAAAAATGGGGTTTTTCAGACACGAACGTTTTGATTTGAATTTTTTTTCAGCTGTGGCAAAACGTACCCAACAGTGACTGTGTCAGCCTTTGACCCGTTCTCGTACGCAAAAATCACGAGGACGTACAATTTTTCATCATTTCCGGAACTAATTATTTTCCCGAGTGATCACGGGTATTCGATTGAGATTGAAGGCGTGAAAAACGAGGGATGCGAGAAATTCGTGCATCATTTAGTGTGTCCAGCGGTGGATGATGTACTCGGGAAATTGCCCTGCATTCATGCTTTGACTGCGGGGAAATCTGAGGATTTTGCAGTGTCAAAAAGGATTAGGAGAGGAATTTCGACGGTGAGCAGAAATCCGATTCAGTTCTCTGCGGAAATCGACCACCGAGATGCTCCGAGGTGAATAAATCTTTCTTTTTTTTTTCGGAATGCACGGACATTTTTTCTGGAATTATTAAATGTCGTAATGTCATCTTCGAGAAATTTTGAGTGATTTTCGGAATAAAATTATTGGCAGTCGAATGAATTTAATGAAATATAAAAACCGATGACTTTATTGCGAAGCTATGCTATACTGCGAAATTATGTCAACAAATGCGCGAAGATTTGTTTGCACAAGTTTTCATCTTTTTCGTGAAGCTGCAACGAATTTTTGTTCAACTTTAGTAAGATCCTCGACATAAAAACTGTATTTCTCGAAAAGCTGATTTTTTGTCTTTTATGAGTTCATTGGGCATTTGCAGTTTTTAAATTCTTAATGATGGAAAACGGTTCGTTGGAATAGAATCAACTTTTTCTGAATATGATTCGTTCAGGAAATATTCATGCATCGTAAATATCGACAAAAATCACTTTTTCTGCAACGAAAAAAAATTTTCCGCAAGTGTATGTGAGGATGATGAACTGTCTTTAATATTTCAGAATACAATTAAAATTCACGGGTACAGAGGAACACTTAATATATAGGATGAGATTTCATTTATCCAAAATGCCTGCAAGAAAAATTCGAAAACGTCAGATGAGAGGTTCTCGAAAAAGATTTTTTTCAGACTTTTAACAAGATGCAAGATCTGTATAATCTCTTTTTAACGAATTAATGCTCGCAAGAAATTCCTTTTGGTCCCTGTTCAATAACCAAAATTATGGTTTAATTTCGTTTCAACAAAGTTTCGTTTATAAGGAATCTTTTTCCAAGGTTCCAAACTCGTTGTTGTAACGAGTTTCTCGTGTGTTCCGGAATAGAATTGAATACGCGCGGAAAAAATACCTGTTCGAGGGGATTTTTTTTTTAATTCTGCGCAGTCCAATAAGAACAGGCATGTTTGAAGGCCATCATATTTTCACAGGTATTTCGAGATTTTATCTGACACGAATCTCGGGTCCGATCCGAAGGACTACAAAAGTTGGACCGGCCTGTTTCCCAACTCGGACGTACCTTTCTACTACCGCCAAGTCCGCGGGGTTGAAACCCCAGGACGAGGCGGAATCGATGCCAGCAGCAGCCCTGCCTTATCCACTGATGTGGAATCCATTCATGATGATGGCGAAAGTTGGAAATCTGATGAAGACATCAGCAATGAGGAACACGACTTGAATAGCCGAGACCATTCCGCGGTTGTTGGGGTGACGAAAGGCGAAGAACCGCTTCCTGACCTCGGGTCATTGTCGGGAGACATTGAACGTTCAGCAGGTGACTATGGTTGTGGCTGATGCCTGTCATAGGAGGGTTTTATTGTCCCCAGGTGGACACGACCTCTGATATTTTTTTAGAGTAGGTGTGACTGTCAGAGAAGGAAAAAAAATTTAGTAGATTAAAAAATTAATCTAAAAAACCACGTTTTCAAAAATGAGCGAAATTTGAGTTGCAAAATTTGATCCGGACAAACAAACAGACAAGAAAGCGAGTTAATAAAAACGTGTTAAAAAAATTGGGACATGTCCCATGATGTTATTCCGAGGTTCTGCGATTTTTTCTGAATATTAAAAAATTGCTGAATGATATAAATGGAATATTTTGGCAAAATGTGGTGCCCATGAGCCCAGACAATAAAATTGAAATTGATTTTTGCACCAAGGCCTTAGTTAGGAATAAGTCCAATATTTTTTTATGATCCTGAAAAAAAACGTTCCTCAAAAAAATTCCTCACTGATGGGAGCCTTTTTTCAGGAATTCCTTCCATAGGATTTGCTTCAGAGATTTTGGAATACAAAAGGATTTGTCCTTTGTGGATTTTTTCCAACTTAGGCCTTCTCAAACTGAATGCATTTCAGTGACCTTTTGTCAAACTGAAAGACATTTTTTTAATGCAAAAAATCCCAGAACCATAAAACATTTTGGGAAATGTCATAATTCTTTTTCAATCAGCTCTACTCAAAAAATGTCAGAGGTCACGTCCCACTGAACAATGAGATGTCTTAGGTGACACCTGTATTCAGAAACTATTGATGAAATCTTAACCCTTGGGCGGCAAAGTTGGACTATTTTTGCAAATTTTTGTTGCACCTCAGGGCAGAAAATAAAAAAAGGACAACAGGGATTTGAGGACAAAGTTGGGGAAAAATCCGATGTTTTTTTTCTTTTTGCACAGAAAAATTTTGTGGGAAAATGAAAAAAATGCTATAGGACAACAGGGATTTGAGGACAAAGTTGGGGAAAAATCCGATGTTTTTTTCTTTTTGTACAGAAAAATTTTGTGGGAAAATGAAAAAAATGCTATGCTAAGCAATGGGCTTTTCTCGGATTAATCCCAACTTTGCCTCAGCCCACCTGGAAGGTCTTTTCTGACCTTCAGAAAAATTAAAACGCCTTAGCATACAAAAATAATCTGATTTTGGCCAGCAATGGGAAAGAACCCTTTGCAGTCCAAGGGTTAAAAGAATTTTTGCCATGCATTAAAAAACACTATTTTTCAGTGCATGACCAGTTATTACAAGTCTTGCCATATAGTGCTACCAATCCTGATAATTTCCAATAACCCAGCAGGAAACCAAGCATATTAATATTCTCAAATCATATAAGGATGATCATTGAATAATTAATCTACAGGTGTTTTTGTTCCCTGCCAGTGAATCAAAATAAACCGGAATAATTTGATCAAAAGTTGATTATTGGATTTCTGATGTATCCTTTGCAAAAGATTCAACTTTGTGAGTCATAAATCTAATTTTTCCATTGCATATATTTTTGTCAGGAGTGGAGGAGACTTGGGACCCAGAACTGGTGAAAGATCTGTCAGGATCTTTCAAGATTACAGAGGAAGAAGTCAAACACATTCTTCACTACTCTGAACCCTCTTTCATTCCCTCACTGGAACGCAAAGATGCCATTCCTGCACCTGCCAAGCAAAAGTATCCCATGCCAAAGCACCTGATTATTCTGAACAGTGCCTTGCCTGCCATGGGAGGATGTATTGGAGCTGCAACAATGTGCATATTTTGTTCTTTGTTGTCTGAAGGAGTTGGATCTTCTAGTGTACCTTGCATTGGCACATGTCATGCTTCCACTTGGGCCAATTGCCTGGGCATGCTTGGGCTACTCTACAACAAGGTGTACAAGGAGAACTCTGTGATATGTTCTGAGTTGTTTGCCCAGGGAAGACTGGATATTGAAAGGTAAGAATGATGTGTGTAATTTAATGCCTCAACTCTGAGACACCTGAGGATTCCTTACACTAAGGAATCCTCTCCCATGTGATGGCGGAGTAGGAATTTTTCAATTTTGACCAAAGGTCACTTAACCCTTGTGCAGCGAAGTTGGACTATTTTTGCGAAATTTTGTGGCACCTTAGAGAGGTTTGGAAAAAAATGATAACAGGCGGTCAAGGGCAAAGTCGGGAAAAATCCCAATGCTTTTTCTCTGAACACAGAAAAATTTTGTGGGCAAAAAAAAAAATTATCAGTTAGGCGAATGGCTTTTTTTTGGATTAATCCTGACTTTGCCTCAGCCCACCTGGAAGGGTTTTGGTGACCTTCCCAAAACTGAAAATGCGGGAGGATACAAAAATAATCCAACTCCGTCCCACTATAAGAAAGAACCCTCTGCCGTCCAAGGGTTAAATGCTCCCAGGTTGGGAAGGCCAAAGTCAGGAAAAATCCATGAGGCAAAATTCCTTTTGTTTCAAGGATGATCTCAAATGCTGATGCTATGCTAGGAATGCAGGAAAAATTTCATCCAACAGTTAAGGATTTTTTTATTTTTCATGCAATAAGTTTTCTGCAGAAACATAAAAATGTTGACTTTTTGAGCAGGGGGTCATTGAAATGTCCCCCATGCCCATGCCAGGAAAGACTATGATGAGGCAGGAAAAATCTGATAATTTCATTTTTGTTTTAGAAATCACCAGTGCTAATCATATGCTATGCTGCATCAAAAAGGTCACCCAGTGAGGAATTTTTTTCTTTCAAGGTAAAAGTATCCAATGCAAGAGTATTTTTTCCCCAGCTTAGGCCTTTTGGTTCAAAAACACCATTTTTATTTTCAGTTCTGCTGGTGGGAACAAATTTATTGCTAAATTATCCTGACTTTGCTGCACAAGGGTTAAAATTTGATCCAGATTTAAGCTAACTTTGAAGCTCTAGAGCAGATAAACAAACATTGCTTTTTCAATTTTCAAAAGACATTTTCTGCTTCTGAATTGTTGTGAAAATATGAAAATTATTGATGATATGAGTTTTTAACCCTTTTTGTGCACATTTTCAGCAACGACTTATTGCTTTACTGAATTTGCACTTTGCTTTTATTGATTTACTATAAGAAACCTTCATATCACATGGTCAAAATCTCAATTTTGCAGGTGTTGTGTGTGGATTTCAGAGAATGCAGTTTTATAGACTTCAGAATTGGCAAAAAAATTTCAGTGCAGACTTTACAGAGTATGCACAATTGGTCTCGCAAAATCAAATGTTTAGTTTGCTCTTTTAGCGTTTTACTTAATTTAGTGGTCTGTTTTGGGTTACTCAAGAAAACCTTGAATCATCACCACCACGAACTGATGCAATTCCCATTTTCACACAGCTATGTCGCAGATTCTCAATTCGGCCTCCGTCTGGCCACCAAAGATCCATTCGCCATTTCTGGCTACCACATCCTCGCAAACCCAGTCGTGTGGGCCATGCAGAAATCGCCTCTCATTTCTGACCTGGTCGAAACCCTGACTCAGCCCTGGGTGACGCAAATGGCCTTTGAAGAAGGCTACTCTGCTTCAGGAAGTCCCATGGGCGCGGCCATGATGCGACTGGGCATCCCGCTCTGTTCTGCTCTAGGCTGGCTCGTCCAATATTCTTCCTGCATTTGGATCCCTGAAATCCTCGTCATGGCGGCTTCCTTGTTGGCATTGAAGCAATTTCGCTCCATTTGTTGATCCACGCTTGAATTTTTTTTTTTCCAGGAAGAAAAATTCCTATTGCATGCAAGAAAAAGGAAATTATGCTCATGCAGGCGTCTGATGCATGCTTGGGTCAGTGAATAAAATATTCTGGTCCGTTATTTTGTCTTTCTGAAACACGATGGACGATTTTCCATGGTGTGCTTTTGGTTGTCTTGCAGTGTGATCATTATCTTGTTGTGTGAAGCCGGGGCTTGTGCATTTTGTGCAGAAAATACTGGATCCGTCAGCCAATAAAAACAATTCGGCGCATTCGTCTTCTGACGATTTATTTCTCCTCGTTTAATGCATCTGTTGAAAGGAATTGTTCATCCTACCTCTGGCACCATACAATTGATCTGGTTTTTTTTTTTTAATCGAAAGAAAAATTTTTGTGCGAAATTTATTCATTGCTCGAGTGTGTTTCCAGAAATTGCGTTGCATTCGACAAAAGCCGGAAGATCGGTGAATGTGCAAAATTTAAAATGAAATTGGATAAACGCTTTTCGCCATGGACAAGTGGAATCGCACTCGTTGCATTTTCTGGAGTTCTTGTTTTCCTGGTCGCCAAATTCGCCTCTTTGCCAAAAGAATCTGGTTTGAGTCGTTTGACATGATTTGAATCGCGCCAAAATTTCCCGTGGTTTTTTAACGCATTGAATGATGTTTTTTAGTTGTTGGAATGATCGTTGATTGCAATTCCTCGACTGCTCCGAGCCAGCAAAAAGAACTAATTTTGGCGATACAAACAGCATTTGAATGGATCAGTTCGGAAGAGGGTCACGTCGTCAGAAGTGTGCAAATTTGTGCCGACGACGAATCACGAGAAATTTTGAAACATTTTGGAAAGGCTTTCGCAGAAGGAGGTTTTAAATCAATAATTGACTTGAGGTTCGTTTCGGAAGTGATTGATTAATTTTTTCAATATCTGATTCGTGCCGATTTTGCAGAAAGCATAGATCGACTCAACATGGCGAAGAAAATATATTTGCACAATTTCCGTCTGGGCCAAATATTTTCACGCCATTTCCAAAAAATTCACGCGAATTCAGGGACTCGAGAATTATTTCGCCTTACGCCGATTCGAAGTCTTCCAATTTGGCCCTAATTCACAAAATGGGTCAAATGAAAGCAAAAAAACTTCTGCCAATAATTTCGCTGGATCCGGATTATCGCGAAGATTTCATCGCATTTTCGGATCAAGTTTCAATGAAATTTCTGCCAGCAATTGAGCACAAAAGCGTCGGGCAAACATTGAAGCAAGTTTCGACGCAAACGGCCCTTAAGCCGCTTCAAAGATAACACGACAAACACCTGCCCTTTCAGCAACGACTAAATAACCGTTTACGACTACTTTAGTCGAATGTCTCCTAGACCATGAAGGGACTACGAGTAAATTGGGAGGATGAGTTAAACTTGAAAGATCCACTAGTTTCGAGGAATGCTGGGAAAGTTGGACTGATTTCCATCGGATTTCTCGGGGTCAGACAAAAAGGAACATACAGGTGATTTTCATGCGACAGTTTTTTCCCCTTCAAAACTAAACAGCAAAAATATTTCCACAAGCTGTTCAAATTTTTTTTTCATAATATTTCTCGACCAAATGTTTATTTTACTCGAGGTCAAACGGTAGAAGAAAATTTTTCTGAATAAAATCCCAAGAATTTTGGCTGAAAATTTGCAAGAACGCAGCAGAATTTATTCAAAAAAAAATAATTGTGCAAATGCTGCATATAATTGTATACTTTTTTTTTTAGCTTATTTTGAAAATTTTCCCTTGCCACGATTATTTTTCTTGCCAGCTTTTACATTTTCCTCTTGGCTCGAAATCAACTCAGCCATGTTTGATTTTTGTGTGAAGATTATTCGAACGAGGATTTCAAGTTCTTGAGGATTTGTTTCCCGTTACATACTAAATTTTGCACATGATACTGCACAGTAATCTTAAAATCTGGCACAATGCTCTTGATTAAGTTAGTTTCGCCAATATTTGAATTCAAATACCAGAAAGTTAAATTTAACCAAACAGTTCAGATCGAAACACCGCAAAATTTGTCTTTCGTGCTGATGATTTTTTTAGAAATTATATTATATTGCCAGGTGATGGTGTTATTTACAGGTTGTTTTTTCCTTTGGGAATGTTATTTTATGCTTTAAAGGCACAAGATGATGCAGTTACTGAACCAAAAGCTGGGCAGAGGTCCGTCCATTTACGCCATTTCGGCATTTGAAACCGCACTTTTGGCGGTATCGGAAAATTGCACACGTGGCATCACCGGAAGTTTGGAGTTTGATGCGTTCGGAAACAGGGTATCAGCAACCGGAAATGTTTCATCGCCATCAGGAAGCATCTTCGTGGGGCTAAGTGCATTTCCGGGACCATTTTCTGACGAAGTGTCTCGCCGATTTCAAATTTTGTGCGACGGAGTTTGGATCCCTCACGACGCGTTCGAAATTTGGCACAACAGCACGGAAAACCGGGTCGAGGTCGCTGAAGGAGTCATGGCTGCTTTTGTCTTGACAAAACAGCATTTGATGGAATTGCGAAGGATCTGTGCCGATTCCGGGTAAGGATAACCCCCTTTTGATTCCGTGTTTACCCTGATAAAACGCGAAAAGTTCTTTTTTATTTGACAAAATGTTGCTTTAAAAAATCAGGTCACTGCGTCTCATTTTCTGTGGGTGTCTTGTGGGGTCGCGTTCACGCGGCAACCCGAGCGTAGCATCCTCGCTC